GTTATCAGATCAGGTGTATTCAGGGTACTACGACTAACAATCTTTATACAGTCTTTCTCATGCAAACCTTACTCTTTTCCTTCAAAGGCCTAAATAACCCACCACTTCTTACAAGATCATCTGTCCCCAATTCTGTGTAAGTGTAAGACCTCTGCCTGACTCTTCCTAGCTTCATCTGTTATTCTCATCCTAATGACAACTGCTTCGCTGCCCCCACTGTAGTTGTGGCCTCAGTGGCTGAACTGATAAATTCTTCAAAATTCCCTCAAGCACAGTGGGCTGTGCAGAGTCCCTGGGAAGTGACTACTCCCAGCCTGTGGGCTGGACACAATTTCCAGGGAGACCCTGCCCTTCACTGCATCTTCTCTAGCAGCTGCAAACCTCTGGAAGACCAGGCAGCATCTCATGTACTACCAAGGCCAACATGCTGCATTCCAGCCAAAGAGACATGAACAAATAAAACAGGTTCCTGTCCTCTAAGAGCTCAGATGCTGCTGGGGACCAATATAAAACAAACCCACAAAAAGTTATGCAATGCCCCTGCAGGACAGTGGAAAAAGGATTCTAAGCTACACACTGCTTTGTGTGATATTGTCCACTGTGGAATCACGAAGTATGTAAGGGGAGAGGTAGAAGCAGGAGGGCAAGGAGCTATGAGAACAGTTAATATGCCTGACCCACCAACCTGCAGGAATTTACAGAAGAATGGGATGATCGTGTGTGTGTGGGGGGGGATAGCACTGGAATTAGGTAGCAAACTCAGTTTTCACTGGCATGAGCCTATTAGACAATCATCCAAGAACTTGTGTGTAATAAGTTCTCTCTAAGTATAGACAGAAAGACCCACAGCACATTTGGGTTATTACCATATTGCTGGGCTTGATGAACAAATATAAGGTCTGCTGTATGCTGACCCCCTCTGTACTCTGTCCCCAGCTTCAGAAGAAATGAGACTTACAAAGTTGTCACCCTGGTCACTGTTGCTCAGAGCTCTGGAATGTGCCACTGTTACACAGCTAACCTGCCATGATTACTGTGGCAAGGAAGGAACAATCTAAGAAATGTAGGTGTGACTACTGTAGCAAGGCAGCTGACTGAAGCAGAAGAGCTATCTGGTCTTTCTCCACTGAGGGGGCTGCCCGTCCCACCCCTCCATTGAAACTCCTTTCACAAGCAAGTCCAGGCTCTTTCTCATTGTCTCCACTGGCTGTTTGTGGAGGTGGTCAGTGTGAACATTCCTTTCTGAAACACCTCCCTGGGCTCCTCTGCCCCTCAGCTTCCTGGTTCCTCCTCAGTCACTTGGACTTCCTCACACTGTCCTTGGTGTACTGCCTAAACACAGGCTGGGTCTGTCATTCTTTCTTTCTGCTCACCCTGTAGAAAATACCTGTGTGTCTTCCCAGCACTGTGTTCACTTGGCTCAAGTATGTGAAGCAATTCTGTCAATATTTACTGTACACATATTTACTCACCAAGTCCCCAAATATTTATTGAGTTCCTATTATGTGCCCAGCATTATTTACATAGGAGAAATACAAAGACAGACGGTCAATCTGTATGGAGGTTGGGCTCGGGGTGCAGGTAAAGCCTCAGGATTCCAGTGGGAGGCTGTAGAAGTCTCCATAGAGGAAGTGTGAGTTTCCAGGAATACATAGGACTAGATAGCATAGATGCAGGCAAAACAGGTCTCTGTGTAGTAGTGGTGGTTGGGAAGCTGGTATAGGGAAGGTGGTTTGGGGCGGCGGAAAGAGCAGATGAGACACAGCATGTAGTCCTGATGAATTGCAAACGGCTTGGCATGGTTTGTTATGGGCAAATGGGCTGCGGAAAGGAGATATGGCTAAAAATAGGCAGGGGTTATGTGTTCTAAGCACCTTGATGGCTGGGGCGAGGACACTGAGGTTTGGGGGAGTGAAGGCATCAGCCTTGTAATTCAGGGATAGCTTGGATGGCATGTGAAGCAGCAGGCACCAGAGAGCAGTACTGTAAGCTTCTGGGTTAGGGTGAAAGATGACAGACACAGTCTTTGAAGTTCCCAAAGTTCAGCCTTTAGATCACTCATTTTTAACACACAGTAATTGTAACTGAGTTACTCTGACTGAAAAAAAAAAAAAAACAAACCTCTGGTTCTCTAAGAATTATCCAAAAACCAATAGCTTTTAAATAAATACTAGGCTTATTTTAAATGTAATAATGTAATTTGAGAGTACCTACAATAAGATTTAGTTGTGTTATAACAAACACAACTATTCAGAAGAAGATCGAGATAAAAGTTCTAAATTTGGTTTAAAGAGATGACTAAACTTTAAGCTTGGCATTGGGTTTCTGCCATTTAAAGCAAAAAGAGGGGAAAAAAAACAATCATAATCATGAAGGAACTCTCAACACTAGGAGGTAACATAGCATAGGGATCTAGGATGGAGGCCTCTCCACTCCAGCCCCCCTTCCAGGAATCTGCCTTAGGTAAAGAAGGAAAACTTGTGTATCTCAAGACCAACACAGGAATGAACGAGATAATATTTGCAAAGTACTCAGTACATAATTTGTCCAAGAAATGGTGATGCTCTTCTTACTGATAATGAGTGAAACATGGCAACTCGGGAGGACGGATGGATCTCAAGCTCTATAATGACAAATGCTGGTGTTTTTCACAGCTGTATTCTCAATGGCTAATTCTAGGCCCAGATTTTAAGAAGCACTAAGTGCTAAGTTAATGACAAGTCAATGGAAAACTTCTCTCTAGTATTATAAGGTGCCAAACATCATTCTCATCTTGTACACAAACAGAGATATATCTTTAGCTATGGTTTAATAGAAGAGTTCTCTTGTGTGGTCTCTTACCATATGTAAAAGAAAAAGGATTAAATCCAGCCTAGTGTGGAAATTCAGCAGGATGTTAAGCTAATGAGGTTTGGGATAAATGAGAAAACGTGTTCCGTTTATGTATAAGTAAGTGATTTGCTGTCCAGCAGATCACACTAGGGGAAGGCCTCAACAAGAGTCCAGGGGTTGGTATCATGCTCTGAACATCAGACCCACAAGAGGAAAACCAACCTAACACTAACAGAGTGGAGAGACCTGACAAGCAGTGGGAGCCTTCAACAGGATCAGTGAATTCCCAAGGACCTGGGGGCAATGTAGCTCCAGCAGGGAAGGGGCTTGGTTTGGGTGTTTAATTCATTGATGCTTGGCCTGGGAAAGCTGGCAGATCCCTGGTATTCAAAGGACCTGGAGAAAGATACCTTGTGGTATTTACGGCCAACTACAGGGAAGTATAACATAAAGGTCCCTAACATAGCATCCTGGGGGCAGGGCTTGCTTTACAGAAGAGAATTACATTCTTGCAAAAATTGTTGCTGTATCATAAAGTGGCTATCTGAGGGCCAGAGGGAGCACAGCGTCTGAGGCGGAGACCCAACAGCTCAGCAGGCCGGGTGGGCTCAGCAGAATCCATCATGCTGAGATCAGCATGGGCCAGGCCAGAGGGTGAAAGGTGAGCTGCAGAAGTAGGCATGCCAGGTACCTACCCTGCCACTCTCCTCTGCTGCACCAAAACCTCTTCCCCAACTCATACCTACTCCACATATTGGGTCTTTGATGAACAAGTGACAGGGAAGGACAATAAAGGTCTTTAAGACTTTGTCCTATTATCCTGAAGAGGGTCAGTCAAAGAAACTAGAACCACTTTCCCCTAAAGTAAGCCATAAAGCCTAAAAAGGTAACTCACTTTTGCTTTGGAGACTTGTATTCTAGAGGGATCCTGTCCACATCCAGGAGGAAGGAAAGATGTACAGGGAAGCCAAAGAGAATTGAAGCACACAGACCCTGCTAGGTGTCTCATTTATTACCTTCAGATGGTACCCTGCCTGCTCATTCTTCTCCAGGTTTCTTTGCAGTTATCTATAGCCATCTGCCAAATATAAGGCACTGTATGTAGTCTAGCTTCACCTTAATTTCGTTCTTCTGGACTGTCTCTTTGTCCTTTGCTCTCAGCTCTATATAGTGGACTCTTTATCATCTACCCCTCTTCTTCTGATCTCTCCAAGGGAGTAGTGTGCTGCCTCATATTTAAACATCTCATAGTGTAGTATCTTTATGGTATGTTCTAGAATCACTTTAAAAGTAAATACAACTTCTGCTTCTCTATGTCCCTATTCCCACCTTAAATATAAACTCTGGGACCCTTATGGGACTTGAATTCACTTTTGCAGGCTCTACTGGCACTTACTGACCTACCTCTCACATCCAGGGCCGGCGGGAGGAGGGGGAATGGTAAGAGAAAACCTTTCATTATACCAGAGCATAAAAAAAAGGTGAAGGTAGAGTCTTTTAACTCCTATGTTTCTCCTTTTTTGTCTCCCACTTTAACCCTTTTATACTAAAATAAATCTTTGCTAAAACTTAACAAAAAAGGAAGAAGATGGAGGCAAGAAATGAAGAGCCCTGGGTGCTGGTCACAGAAGTGCCTGAGGAAGTGGGTCTGATGTATAACTGCAGCCCTCTCTCCTGCCGTGCTGGACAGAGGATTGTTTGGATAAATGGGCAATAGTTCTTGAATACTGAGGACAAAGTTAAGAAAACACAGCATATATCCTATCTACTCGCTAGTTACTCCCTTAACATTCTCTTTATCTTTATATTATATTGTCTTCATTTCAACTGAAGAAAATCATGCTCTCCATTCATAGCATGTGATTCTCATCTTTAACAGGAAGACACTGTGGCTTTTACAAGATTGTAAACACAGATACATAGCTTATCTTGTTAACTAGGTTGGTGTCTCTCTAAGACATACATGCACATCCAATTTGACCAATCATTCAGCTGCAAATAACTTTTTTTTTTAACCTGAAATAAAAACACCTAAAAATAGCCACTATCCAAGACCTACATGAAATCCAGATCACAAAGCCTAAGAATAAATGCAGTCTCTATCACACACACAATCACAAATTTACAAAGGCCACTGGTTCTTTCATACAAGTTATTTTGGATATTACCTGCTGCTGCCTTTGCCGCCTCACTTGTGCAAACTGAGAGAGCATCAGCTGCCGATCAAGTTGTTCCATTCTCTGCTGACGCTGGATGTCCACCGTGGCTCCCATCCCCACTCTGGCCTCGCTGGTGGGCTCTGAAGATGAGAACATGGGCTCCACAGTCCATGAGAAGAACCGTGCCATCCAGCTGGGGATGCAGAGTACTTGGTGAACTTGGAACATTTTGCGATCATAGCACATACCGGAAATCTACAAGAAAAAGGCCAACTGGAGTTTTAGAAATATAATACAAATGTAAAAAATTCATTAGTGCTGGTGGCTCACGCCTGTAATCCTAGCTACTCAGGAGGCTGAGATCTGAGGATCTTGGTTCAAAGCCAGCCTAGGTAGAAAAGTCCATGAGACTCTTATCTCCAATAAAACCACTAGAAAAACAGAAGTGCACTGTGGCCCAAGTGGTAGAGCGCTCACCTTGAGCTGATGAGCGCAGGGATAGTGCCCAAGCCCAGAATTTAAGCCTCAAGACTGACCAAAAAAAAAAAGCATTTATTAGCATGGAAACCAACAAATGCAGAATACTTCAGAGTATTTTTCTTACTTGTAGCAGTGTTAAGTAATAAAAGCACTTACTAAGTTGCAGAATACTATGCAGAACAAACCAACAAAAATTTAACGTACTTAATATAGTAAGATCAGGTTTATGAAACTAGTAAATAGTTAAATCCTAGCCATTTAACATTCAAGATACCAGAAAGATGCTGGAAGAACAGTGTCTTCATTTTTAAGTGAAAGTCACAAAATATCTGACTATCAAGACAGTATCATTCTGTACCAACTCTGTGACCACTATTGATATTATATCCATAGGGAGATACCAGCAGAACACTGGTGTTCATCAACCCACCCAGGCACTGAAAACTCCTTGTGTTCTAATCAACTTTTCAAGTGTTGATTTTTTCCTAGATGTTTAATTCATTAACAATTTTAGTTAGCAATTCATAATTCTTTCTCTCTCTCTTTTTTTTGGGGGGAGGGGCCCGGTTGTGGGGCCTGAACTCTGGGCCTGGGCACTGTCCTTCAGCTCTTCCGATCAAGGCTAGCACTCTACCACTTGAGTCACAGCGCCACTTCCGGGTTTTTTCTTTTTGCTTATGTGGTGCTGAGGAATCAAACCCAGGGCTTCAGGCATGCAAGGCAAGCGCTCTACCACTGAGCCACTTTCCTAGCCCCCTTAATTCTCTTTTAACTAAACCTATTTTTCATTTTTAAGGTAATTTAGGCAGAAAGAGAAATCTCCCTATTTATTGGGAAGAGAAAGTTCCTTATTGTTTTCCAGGCAAAAATGACTATGGTTCTTAGGGTAGGAATTTAGCATACTAAATAAAATTATTTACTAAGTTATTGTCTAATATGAGAGAAGTACACTTACTATGCAGTCCAGGCTATCCTCAAGCTCAGAGAGCTTCCTCCTTCAGCTATCCTGGTCCTGGGATTATGGGCATATACCACCAAACTCAGCTCATGTTTTATTAGTGTGATTTAAACTAATCAGACAAGGACTGCTGTATTGAGAATACTGTGGCAGACCAGATAAATAAGGTGTTACTCTTAAAGAAGCAATAGTGCTCCATACAGAGAAAAGACAGTGAAACAAGTAAACACATAGGCAGTTTTCAACAAGGTCTAAGAAGTAAATAAATGATTTAGAGCCAGGGACTTCCTTTATTAGATAAGGGAAGTTGCTGAGGAGTGATTCTTGAGTCAAGACCTTAAGGATGATAGGAAACTTAGGGAAGGACACTGCAGGCACAGAAAACAGCAAATGTTATGTGAGAACAAGTGGGAACACCAAGGAGACATCTCAGTGCAACTCTTAAGGAGGCGAATGGACATAAAAATTTGGAACTCAGTGGAAAAGTCAGGCAGAGATAAGGATTTGGGAACTGCTGGATATCACACAGTGATATGAGATAATATGGGGATAGAGATGTTAAACAAAAGAGAGGACAGGAGTATAATAAAATTTTGTGGCTAGATAAAACAGAAGACATCTGAGAAGGGGCTGCCAGGAAGCAGAAGGGAAAATAGGAGAGTTTCGTATCAGGGAAACTAAGGGAAAATATTGAAGAAGAAACAGGTCTGAGACAGAGAAATGCCTACTAGATGCAGCCCATGAAGGTATCTGACCCTTATTAGGAAAGTCTGGACATTGTAGGCTATGAGAGTGAACAAGTAATTTCTGCTATCCCTTCTCTCAAAAGTAATACAAACAACAAAGTAGAGACAGAAATGAGCTACACTTGGTTAAGATAGAAAGCACTTCTAATCCTGAACCATACTAACAAAGTGGAAAGCATAATGCATAATCACAAATCACTCAGTGCATAGAGAGAGTGGGTGCGAATGCCTGAAGAGGATCCCAGGGAACTCAGGCTCAAGTTTGACAGCCAAGTGCTGTGGACAGCAGCTATGAGGTGGAAGATGATTTGAATCTGCATACAAGGTCCCTGCTTTCTCCTCACAGCCAGTATCTACCTTCTCCTTCCTCCACAGTGAGGTGAAAGCCCAAAGCCTTTGGAGGAAGGAGCTCAAGAAGGTCTGGGCAAGAGCAGTATGCAGAACATATATGCCCCATAACACTGGAAACAGAAGACAAGAGAGGAAATGTGGGTCATATTTAAAGAGGTAGTTAAGTGACTTTAGAATGAACAATTTTAGAATAATATAGATCCTCAGATTGAAAATGGAGTTCCCAAAAGATAATAAAAGGGTACCGTTCCTGAGTTCTTTTTGTTCAAGGCTAGTGTTCTACCACTTTGAGCCCAGCTCCACTTCCAGTTTCCTGGTAATTTGGAGATGAGAGTCTCATGGACTTTCCTGTCCAGGCTGGCTTTGAATAGTCATCCTTAGATCTCAGCCTCAGGAGCAGTTAGGAGTATAGGCATGAGTCACCAGTGCCCACTACCTACTACATTCTTATTCAGGTTTTACTGATTATTTTGGAAAGGCAGTCATAGAATAATGCTCACTACTTAAGTAATGAAATTAATCTGCTGGGTGGAAAACATGAACATTCTTGAGGACCGAGAGTAAAGGTTAACTGTCCTCTGGTCTTGTTTAGTGTAAGCCTGAAACCACTATTGACAAAGGTAAGAAACCATGACCTAGCCATTACACCAGGTGCTGATCTCTTTGTTTAGCCAACTGTGGCTGAACAAAAACTCACCAGGCAAATGGCATTGCTACAGTCCCTGTAGACCACAGGGATCCCCCGCCTTCAAGAAATGCGCCTTCTAACAGGGCAACCAAACACCAGGGGCTGCTTTCCCAGGACAGTGACATGGCTTTTGCATAGTAAGAACAGCCAAAAAAGCACCTGGGCCTCTGCATGCAGACTCCATGTGCACTCACAGCCCTGGGAAAGCACACACCCACTGAGGACTTAGTAATTCATCCAAAAGTATTTATTGAACATGAATCTGTGTCAGGCTGTGCTTTAGACACTGGGACACAGTAGGGAGGAAGTAGAAAAATCTCTGACTAAATGGACCTTACATCTTCCTAGTCCTTTTTTGATACTAAAAAACCACTAAAGAATGGAGGAACTTTGGAAAGAGTCCTTAAAATAATAAAAAAGAATGCATATGTAAATTAGTTAAACCCAGAGTTAGTTCTGTCATTTGTGATTAATTCTGGAAAGATTTTTTAAAAAAAATGAACATACAGAAACATGTAGCTTTGGCAATTCGGAGTCTTGCTGTCTTGTATCTTAAGTGCAAAAGTGACTTGAACTCTATAGCTCGCCTACCTTTTTCATATGAGGGAAGCGGAATGGCACTAATCTAAAAGATGTTGAGGTATCCAACTAAAAAACTGTATAGCTTTTTGATTGGAATGCAAACAGAATTAGACTTACCATAGACTGTTTCTAGCAAGATGTCTTAGAAAGTTTCTCTAAACTTTCCTTTTTGGAAAAATCATGTATCAGGAAGATTATAATGGTCAACTTCTTCACAAAGTAGAAAATGTCTAAAATGCAGCAGAATTTTATTTCTCCTTCATCTTTAAAACAACAACAACAACAAACTTTACCCATCTATTGTATTCCAGGTAATAGGAAGAACAAACAAGGTAAAGTGAAAACGGCAGAGACTACTTTAAGGGATGATCTCAGAAGCTCCATTGTGGACACCAGCAAATGCAGAGAGGGGAAGGAACAGCTGAACACAAAATACTTTATTAAGCTTCCTCTTTATGAGTACAATAGAGGACTGGATCCAGTGTCTTTAGCATGAAAGCAAAATAGCTGACTATGAGCTACTTCCCCAACCTAGAATAACAACACAAAAATTCACCATAACCCTGCCACTACTCAGCTGTACCTAAACACTGGGAAATGTCTAACTGAAAGGCCATAGGAGATTAAACCCTACAACCAAAAACTCACACACTCAAAAACCTGAAAAACACGTCACCTCAAAAGGTCAACAATTCTATAACAAAGGCATTGAACAAAAACAAAACAGATGAAATCCTGAACAGTGAACTCAAAAGACCAATGACAAGAAAGATGAAGAGGGGGGGTGGGGAGGGGAGGCTGGGAAGGGATGTGAAGGGTAAACAAAGGAGGAGGCTGCAATGCTCATGTAATTGTAACCCCTCTGTACAGTGTGTTCACAAAAAATAATAATTAAAAAAATTAAAAATTAAAAAAAAGAAAGATGAAGAAAACTGGAGATGTTGAAACACCTGACTGAATCAAAGAATACAATAACAATCAGCTCACTGAACTCAAGAAACATTCCATCAAAGAGATGAAATAAGGAAGTCTAGCTTATTAAAGAGAAATCCAATAAGGATACAGAATATTGAAACATTCAAAATGAAATTTTGGAAATGAAAAGCTCAATAAATCAAATAAAAAGCTCCCTGAAAGTCATTCTATAGAAAGAAACAAGTTAAAAATATAATATCAGGGTTTGAAGATAAACTAGGAGATAATAACCACATAAAGGTATAGGGAAATACTAAGGAAATATGAATGGAACATGAAAGACCTTTGGGTCACAACCAAAACACCAAATCTACAAATCATGGGCGTTGAAGAAGAGATATAAGTAACTGCTAGATAACATACTAATGAAACAATAGCAGAAAACATCTCTAACCTTGAGAAAGCAAAGGTATTCCATGTGATGGAGGCCTATAGAACATGGAATGATAAAATCAGAGAAATAAACACCCCTATA